TATTTATGTGCTGTGGCCTGCCTTGCCAGTGCTGGTGGGAGTGGGGGTTTGGTTTTGCTCCTCTGGTAGTTCCTTGATTAGCATATGTTTGCTGCTTGATTGTATGCCTGGTGGTAACCTTTGCTTATCTGGGGGATGATTGCTGGTGATTGTTTGCTGGTGAGGCGACCTTCTGGTCTTTTGTCTCTTTTGAATAGTATGTAGATGCTGTTAATCTCTGTGTTAATTAGCTAGAACTGGAATATCATTTAACATAGTGCTGCTTCATCTGGCAGCAACTCACCTTGTGGATAGAATCTTTCTACAATGTTCATTCAGGGAGGGTTCCACTTAGCAAAGCCATCGAACAGAGGTCCCCTAACCTTTAAAATAAGCGTTTTAATTATTCCACTGTTTCATTTGGGCAGTCCTGGAACTTTTACTACTAGGTTCCTTGGATTTTTTCCCTTTCTTTTCAAAATTTTGAAAGTTTTGCAGTGAAAAAGTAAATATACTCAAGGAAAATACTAATGGAAGTAGCCCAGCACCATGAAGATCAGAATTAGAATATAATTCATTTTAGTGAACAAAACTGCATTTCTGCCCATTAGCCCTCAAAAGCATCTACCTAGAAAATTTGGCAGTGTAAATTTATTTTGAATTTTAAAAACTCAGAACAGGAAAATAACATAGACGACACTGAAATTCAACAAAGCATCAATAGCATAATCTAAATTATCCAGGAAAGAAACAAATTAACAAAACTAAATAGCTAATTTCAAAGTAAGTAGTAAACTAGATATTTGCATTCTTTGCCCTAAAGCAGAACCTGAGAGAGCAGAACCCTGTGTAGCTGCTTCCCGTTTTCCCCTTGTGATATGGAAACAATATAGGTCCTGAACTTCTTAACAGTTCTGATATTCAGTGTTCTGATCTATACCAACATGACTTTAACTCAAAATAGAGTAATTGAACTTCTGCAGGACATTGCCAATAGAAATAACAGCACACAGGACATATTGTGTGTGCCTATGTATTTATTGGCCAAAATAAATCTTACCTTAGCTGCTTCCCTGGCAAAATTAATATATAAATATAAGGAAATTGTTAATGAAGAGTTGCCCTATTAAAGTTACATGTTTCCTATAATTGCTAGAAACTGAATCCTAACAATGCTGATTGCTTCCAAGGAAAAAAAGGGCTCTTTCTTTTGGTACCTTCTTACCAGGTGTGTCCACAGAGGGGTCAGAAGGTGGCTCTGACAGCACATTCAAAGCCCCAACTTTTTCACATACAAATACAATACAGTACAAAATACTTTAATGACCAAGTATAAAATATATACAAGGAATTTGTCTTCGGTGACAAACAGCAAGATCATCGGTGCATTTGGATAACAACAGAAAATTAATAAACAGTAACAATAACACTGCCCAGTAAAATAACACGTATTGCACAATCACAGCCATCTTCTTGATTTTTTTGACAACACCCCTGCCAGACACCCCTGCTTTCTACACATAGCCTTTGTTAGCAGAAAGAAAGCTTTTCTGGAAGAGCACCAGAAAATGGTGTGTAAAAGATGACCCAAGAGAGAATGATTGGGAAAAAAGAACTTAAAGAAGTTACAACCTTTTGCCACCAGAATGGAAGGAGTAATGGTGGTGAATTAAACAATTGTAATGATAGCAATCAGGCTTTCCCTCTTATCATCATTTTGGTGTGAAAGTTGCAGATTGTACCATAAACAAGAAATATATGCCCACACAGTTTAATGGTTTGATTTTTTCCCCCTTTTGCTTTTGAAATGCTTCCATCTGTCCTGTCGCTGTATGCTGAACTGAAGACAGAAGAAGGAAAAAGATGGGTAACTTTCCTGCAGGTTTTTTTAATAGGTGATATATAATTAGTTATAGCAGTAATATTAAATAAGTAACCTTGTTTTCTTTTAATTACAGAAAGAAATCTTTTCTTTAAATGACACTGTGCAGTATGGGCAAATAGAATTGCGTAGATAGCAAAAGCCAGTGCTATCTCCAAGACCTAGTACAAAATGGGTTTAGTGTAATATGGATAAACTTCTGTGAAACAGAGCAAAATGTTGGGCTTCCACATTCCCACATTCCTACATAATTGGCAACAGGCCTTAACCAGGATGTAGTTTTCCTTTCCCCAAATGCTTGACTTATTGTTGCATATATTTCAGGAACCATGGATCCTCAAAGTTGCCCCCTCTAGAAATTTGGACTTCAGAATTCTCCTTTCAGCTCTGTGACTGCTGAGAATGTTGAGAACTGAAGTTCATGCAGCTGGAGGGCACCCAGCTTGAGGAAAGCTTGTTAAAGGCTTTGCTAAACCAAGATCTAATATTATACGATTTGTTGCTGGTTTGTTCAGCAATTGATGACAATTTATTTTAAACTTTAAACTCCATGTATAAAACAAGATCAGATCCCAGTCATGTCTTCTTTTCATTCAGGCCAGAGGAAAGATGGGGAGGTGGGGGAAGTGCTAAGTCTGTGGTTTGTTCATATTTGCTGAGGCCTACTAAAACAACCCAATTCCTTTTCTTTCCTCTTGAGATGGCCATCACTCAGAAATCATAACCTTCATCCTCTTTTCAGGACAAGAGCAAAACAAATGCATTATGCATCTCCTTGGAAAAATGCTATGTAAAAAGCAAACTGCTTCCTTGGCTCCTTTTATGAAACTTTGAAATATTGATTCACAAAATGAAATTGTCCAAGGGGTAGATTTTTTTCCAGATCTCATGGGGCCTACTCAGCAACTATTGATTTTCAATGAAACATGAAAGCTTTTTTGAAGCCTGTGTGCTTCACTGTTTCAAGTATTTTTGCAATAGAAAGCAAAATGTATGCCACACTCCAATGTCTCTCCTTCCCTTCCATGATTTGCCATTGCAGAGGATTTTTTTTTTAAAAAAGGAGTTCAAAGATACTCGTTTGTTTTTTTTCTTTGCTATTTTAAAAGAATGTAATTTGTACTAAAATAGTTGCCTGTGCAGAATTGTCATTGTGCTGGAGCATGGCATGAGGACACTCTTAATACATTAATAAAATTGACATGGAAATCCCTAACTCTTAAAACAAAGAGTTATTTTGGAAATCTGTATCATACCCATCAATTCTCTGAGGTCGGGGTGTGATTATCCAGCAGCAAGGGAAAGACTGTGTTTGCATAGCCACTTCCTTATTATTTAATATAAATCCCAATATAGAACAAGTCTTGTGTCCTACTGATCTATCTCTTCCTTCTTTTCTACTCATAAACTGCTGCAGCAAATAGGACAGAACCAGTCCTTTACATTTTACCATCCTACTCTCAAGGGCTTATCATTGTTCCACAATCATTAGCGCTAGTTTTAATTCAACAGCAGAATTGCAAAATCCTTCCAACTGGCACTGGATGAGGAAGATTGCCTTGTGTTTGCTGGAACTGAACACCAAACCATTGGCGCTGTGTGCTCCAGGGCTAGAGGATCTAGAATTCCTGATGTCATCTGTGTCCTTTTCAATTGGCTATACAAGCACTTCATGCCCTTGAGAGAGGTTGGAAAGAGAACATTCCACTCCAGAAGGAATTTTATTTTTTCAGTGGCCCCTGACCCTCCTGGATGCCCCCCTCCCAGCTGCTCTGCACTGATCTCAGAAACTAAACAGCCAACCCTGGGTGCTTGGCAAACCTGGGAGGTTTAGGAAACATCCTGAGGGGAAGCAATGGGCCAGCCTTGTGAATAAAACTGCACAAAACTCCATAGGCCACCAGAAGACCACTTCAGTTTGAAGGCTGATCAGAACAGAAATATGGAGTCAAAATCATTAAATCAGATAAATAAGTAAATGGCTCAGAGAATGGCAATGTGTGAGATCCCCCCACCCATTAGATTTTCCTACAGGTAATTGATTTCCTATCTTTAACAAATTCAGGGACTTAAAAGAAAAATAGTTTAAAAAAACAGTATTTACCATCCTAATGTCTTTTCTTTACAAGGATGATATCTGGGTAATGGCTATATGGAGCAGGGGGTGGTTTCACTATCTCTTGAGAATTTTATTTTCCCCAATGGCATTTTTGCTTTTACAAAGACCTTTATGGTTCAAGAGAGATATGACCTCAAAAACTACTTGTTTTATTTCTTTCATATATTTAATTGTGTTTCTGTGTAAATGAGATGCACTTTCACTTTGCTGAAATACTGGTGTATTGGGATAAGTCTTTTAATAATATAGTCAAGGCATCCATGGGATGAGGTAGGGGCCCAAAATATCAAGATGGCAGCCACCATGTGCTCGAAGCCTGCCCCTTTTTATTTCTGTGTGCCATATCACATGCATGTAACAGGAGTCAAAGCTTCAATCACATGATCGTGACCACCATCATGACTTTTTTTAAAACACCCCCCCCCCATGGACAACCTGAATATGGTCAAGTTAACCTTTGTTAAACTGATATGAATTATATTACAAAATGAATTGGTAGCCAATGACATTTTATTTATGCCTGTTTCCATAAGCTCTGTAACTAAATTTAAATCAGAAACTTAGCTGGAGGATGTTATTTGTTGATAGTAATTTGAATCAGCACACTAGCCAATATAATCAATCCCCAAATAAGATACCATGCTCTCATTTCCTCCCACATCAACAAATCAATATGCCTTTCTTCCTACAACACAGGACAAGCAGCACTGTGGCACAGTATGTTCTCAACTTTGAAAGAGATGTTTCAGAAGTTAAAGGTCCTGTGACAATTGACACCAAAAAAATTGAAAGTGAGAAGAGCACTCTTAGTGCAGAGAAGGAGATACCTGCACTTATACCGAAAGTAACAGACCTTCAGCAGATGGTTGCCATGGTCCTACAGGAAGATAAATCATTATCCATGGACTTTGAAACACTCCAGTTTAAGGATGGTCAGTCAGTTACAAATTCTTACTGCAAATTAATTAATTAATATTCCCTTTACCTTCTCTAAGCAATTGGGTAGTCCCCTGGCTCAAAGGTGCCTCATATTTCCTTTCTCAGAGGAAGGGGAGGTATCAGAAACTTCTGGACTGCTGTTCTGTGATGGATCATAGTTGACAACCAGCTTCCTTCCTGTCTCTTCTGAATCACTCCATCTCACTGTTTTGGTGCTTCTATCCGATTTCTCATTTTGAGGGCAAGCTTTGTTCCCCACCTCCCCAACCTAGTCCCAAGGATTTGGGCTATTGAATAGTGATCCTTCTTTTTGTTCTCCATTATATTGACTTATAATTAATCTAGTAAGCTTATCTTAGCAGGTAATAAAAAGAAAACAGCAGCAAATTAGAAATAAAGATATGTCAGCAAGATGATCTGCTTTGCTTGACTTGTTATGAGACATGCAGTCCTTTTATCTCTTAATCTCCATACATTGTTCTTTTCTCCCAACTAAATAATGTCATTAGCATTCTATATAGTTGCAATGTTTTTGTAGTGTCTGCAGAAGAGGTGGTATTGACCATAAGTTGTACATCTCCGATACCGAGCTTGGCTTTCTGTTTGGAGCTCGGAGGGAGGGATGGGAACATATGGGAACCAGCTCTTTCTGAATTATGCAGGCCTTGAAAGGTCAGATTCAGCATTCTGAATTATGCTTGGAAGCAAATACTTAAGCACAGCAGCCAAACCGAGCCTGGGATTGTATGCTCCCCAGCCTCCTCTTGCCAGAGGTTGAATTCTGTATTTGCACTTGTGGAAGCTTCTGATGACCTTCAGAACCAGCCCAAGATAAAGTGCATTTCAATCCTTAAAGTAGGAGAGTATTAAGTCCAAATCCTGATCTGAAATGGGATGCTGGGAGTTCACCAGCCTTCACTGTAACAGGCAGCCTTTGTGTCCACTGTTACCAGAAAATAACATATGAAAGCAGGGTCAAAGAGCCCAAGTCTGCCTCAACGGCTTTCATGCAGTAGTCAGTTAATCTTCAGATAACAAAAGTATTTAAACCTGACTAGGGTAGATGAACTGATCTGAGATGCTTACTTTAATAGGTAAATGTTTATTAGCATTGGTGGTACTCAGCTGGGTGGAACAGATATTAAAATACGAAGGGTGTGATTCAGGAAGAGATGGCAGTGACTGACCATATACAAAATGTATGATGATACAGATAAATAAATGGATGCGCCAAGCAGCTTTATTGAATGAGCAGGACTCTTGAATGGTGACTAATTACAAAGGCAGAAATATTTTCACTACTGCTGCCATATAGCTTCAGTTGAGAAGTTAGCATATTTTGCATAATTTGTTGCCTACTGGACAAAGAACTAACCATTCTATTATCATTCAAACATTCTATATTTCCATTTACTGAGATCCTAAATTTAATTCCATCAGTGGAAAAAGGGTTTCCATTTTATTCTTCCCTTCATTGCTTCCTGACCTTTCCAGAAATGTGGGGGGGGGGGGTTTGTTTTTTGTTTGGCAGGAAATTAAAACCTTCCCAAACAGGACATAAAAGGAATAGGACCAGAAAGGGGAAATTGCTAGAAATACCGCAACACCCATTCCTTTGTGCCTTTTGTTTATACAACTACTGGTCTATTAATGAGGCAGCTGTGTTGTGTTTTTGCCATGTTTCTATTATAAACTCTGCTGAGTGCAACAGATAAGGAAAAGCAATAAAGTAGTTGGGATTAACTATCTAGAGCTGAGCTGACATTTCTCACAAATTGTTTTTCTGAGGAAATTTTTTGCCCTCTTTTCCAAGTACAGAACATCCCTTTGCAGAATTTTTGGTCAAACGTTCTCCATCACTGTTTTATGACTGTTATCACATCCTCTCCGCAATGCCTTAGAACAGGGCTAGAGCTGGCTCCCTGTGGAAGAGATGAGTTGTTGTTGCTCCTCCCTTTTCTAAGTGCTATAAAATAAACTTTAAAAAGTACTTCAAGGATAAGACTATCCTCATCCTTGAAGTAAAAGTGGCTTCATAGTATGCCACTGAAGTCTCTCTGGAATATCCTACTGCACTCTTGGCTACACCCCTACTGAAACCTGAGCAGTTGCACATGGAGGCAGCAGTAGGAGAGATGGTTGCCAAGAATCAGACAAATATGGCTGATATTCCACTTCTATAACTTTGGAAACAGCACAGGAGGATGTTTAGGTTGTCATCTCAAATATAAATACCCATTATGAATGCAAGAAACTGGTGTATGAAAAATGCGTATGTCATATGGATTGAGCCTAGCTGGGACTGACTGGTACGTCCAGTTGAGTGTGCATTCAGCAGCAAACTGAAATTGCTGTGATATATGCATAATGGCCCACCAAGATAGGATCTTTAATAGTGCTTTCATGCTGGTGAACTTAGACCCCTTCTTTGCAGATTTCACTACCCCCTCATTGCAATGAGCGCTTTGGGGCTGCTGCGCAATGCCTAGTAACTGTCCCTACCATCTCCTCCTCCTCCTAGGCAGCACTCTAGGAAGCTGAAGAGGAGGTTGTCAATAGGAAATAGCTGGTACCCTGTGCCCCTCCTCATGGTTCATCTCAGAGAAGCATGGAGGGAGAGAAACCGAAGGAATTTGTTTTTACAGGAAGAAGGGATCTTGAAGGTATTCCTGCCTGCATTTCCTCTGGAGCAGGAGCCCAAATTGATTGACTTGTAGAGTTAATCAATTCAGCTTTCTAAGATAGTCAAAAGCCCCAGGATGTCATGGTGAAATGTAAGGGCACTGCCATCTCAGATCAGAGCCTTAAAGAAAGTTTTAGTTCCATAGACTAAGAAACACCTCTTTACAGATTCAGTTGATACTGGCAACAAGGGGGGAAAACAGCAGTTTGCTGTTATGCTTGTCATATGGCATGGTCCCTGTTTATAACAAAGGATCCTATATGATAATTGACACGCTTTGGTCAGTTGTGATAGATGGTAGTAAGGCAAACTTGATGAAAAATTACCGTTTCATTTGTCTCATTTTGCAGAAATCATTAGGCCATCTAGTAACATAAATAATGATATACAATCAATGGTAACAGATGCTCTGGCTGGACATGAATTGGTGAGTTAACTTTATTTGCCTTTGTTCCGCAACAAAACTTTAATGATGAATAAGATTAGCACCCTACCAAACCTCTTAACAGACTTAACACAGGGCAAGTTAAGAAAAGTGATTGGCAGATTCTCTAGCTTTGTTTGCCATTCGTCATAGGTTACCAACCAGACAAAAAACATACACCAGTCATTTTTCTTACTGTAGGCTAAGGCCATGGCTGAAGGACTGAAGGATAGACCCACAAATTAAGACATCTATCAAAACCTGGTACCAAGAAAGCTGATCTTTGCGTTGGGAGGGGGAACCCAGTAAAACAGGAGAGCATCACCAGGGTGCCAGGTGGCAAGGTGGCAAGAAAAGAAGGAGGGACACAACCCCAACATCTGAAGCCCTGACAGCCTGGGGATTAATTGCCAAGGTTGGGAGGGGAGGGGGCATGAGACATTTTCTTTAGCTGCTAGGTCTCCAATACCTCAGAGCCAATCCGTGCTATCGGGGCCCTGGAAGTACAATTTGGAAGACCCAGCATATTTCACTGCCAAAAGAGGGATGACTATGGAAAACTCCAGCCAGGGATTGGAGGTGAAAGGGCACGTCTGCAGCAGCCTAAAATGGCCAAAAGGAGCCGGGCCAATTCCAGCTTTAGCAATTGAACCATCATAGATTATATCCTTGGGAAGAATTATGTTGGGACAAGAGAGGGAAAAACAATTTTGAAAGAGAAACCGCTAAAGACAACTTTAAGATGCCTCAGCTGTTGGCTGGGGATATAATGAAGGGACTACAACTGCGATTTAAAAATGGTTAGAAAGGCCTCATTGTGCCATAGCTGAAGGGTCTTGGGTTGAGGTCCAAGAGTTTCATACATTTATACTCCTTGGTTTGTATCAATAGAATGTACAGCAAATTAGGATAAATGAATAATCCTTTAGAAATATTCATGAATAGATGGATGGAATGATATTTATCAGGAGAATATTTTAAACATCTTAGCATATTATTAAAGTGGAAATAAAACTTATTATATTTAGGGCACAATAAAGTATAAATGAAAATTGCCACTCTTCTTTTCCTTCTTCTTTACAGACCTCTGAAATGCCTTTCATTTATGCAAGTTTAGCAACAGTGACCAAATCCTTTAATGAGATTGAGGAAACCAACCTCTTTGTAGATTACCCAATCCCCACCATGTCTTCTAACATCTTAGATAGCACAGGGATTCCCTTTCCCTCAACATTTAAAGAAACTGATGGTCAGAAGAGCGAAGATGAAAAGGCAAAATACCTGATTTCCAGCATCCTCTCCACGCAAGGTAAGTTGTTAGATTCTTAGCTGAGCAACAGGTCCCTTACATTTATCCTGTACAAGCAGAAATTAGAAAGCAAGTACACCCTTAAGTGCCCATTTACCTGTGTGAAAATGTGTTCTACTTCCCTTCAGACACTGTTAATTAACTATTAATGATCATATTCAGCATTTATATACTGTAAGACCGTGACATATGCTATATTTGAATGTTTGAAGATTTTCACATATGTCATCTCAAATTTCTTAGCCCCTTGTATTACTGGGGAAACATGTAGAAGAGGGAAAGGTGAGGCAGAGAATGAATGGCTTGCTGCAGCCAGCTTAGTTAATCCATGACCAAAATTGGGGTCTGTATTATTACCAATCCATGTTCTTAGCTATGAGGTTATAGAGGAAGTCTCAGGTCAATGTACTCAGCTAAAGTTAGAACACAGCTGTTATCTGCTTCCCAGCTAGGCCCATATAACTCTTTTGGTCCTCCAGAAAGAGTTCAAAGCAAATTTCTTAGGAATATATTTCAAGTTTCCTGCTATATCTCAGATGCAGTTCTTCACCATGACTGAGTAGGATTGAAACCAACACCTGGTTATAGATTTTCATATACTGTATTGAGCCAAAATATATTTTGCCCTTGTAGGTCTGATGCCTTGGATCCTTATTGACAATTTTGTGTCATCCTGGCCCAAAGCAATAGGCAAAAAATTGGAGCTACTTAGATTTTCATTACCCCAACTTTGTACATTGGGGTACAAGTGTGTTATAATAATATTGAAACAACAGATTAAAGATATTGGTATCAAATTAGACTTGGCATCTCTTCCCAATGAAATACTGCTGATTAGCTCATTCACCCTCCTTAACCTGCTGGATTAAGTCACATTTCAGTCCCTAAATACCAGAGGGTGTTCTCCTTGGCTCAGTTTGATGCCTACTGCAGTACAGTCCTAGGAGACATAAAGGTGTCCAATCTGGAATAAGGTTTTGCCCATGCAGTGAAGGGACTATTGAAACATGTTTCATTATATTGCCTGTTTTATACTGGAACATGGTCAGAATTGATAACTCCACATCAAAGCACATTTCCTGGTCATTGTGGTCAATTTTTCTGTGTCATATGCAAAATATGTAGCTGATTGACTGATATATCCAATTAATTTTATAATTTGTTATTTTTTATGTAACTTCTTTTATACTTTTATGTAGCTTCTTTTATACTACTGAGTTTTATTAGGTAGTGATCTTTGACCACAATCAAGATTTCTTCTTCTCAGGTGAGATTGATTTGGGGTTGCAGAGGCTTCTGGACATTTTTAGCAAATAAGAACATTGTTCCAAACTTTTCCAAAAATGTTCCAGATTTTTTACTATGAGACCCAGTGGATGAATTTTAAAACTAGTTTTCCCTTGTGTATAACCAAAAGTTATATTTATGTGATTTTTTTTTTATTGCCCTGCACATCTGGTACTGATAATAATCTGAAGCAAGGGCCTAAATATTATGCCTATTGACTTCTGGAAATAATATCAGTTTCTGATATTCTGTACAGTTGTAAGGACTTGTCCTCTCCGAGAGAAAACTCATCTTGGCTACTGTCATTCTTAAACAAAATCCACCCAAAGTTATAACAAAACTATTGCCACATAACCACTCTTACCACTGGCAGTAATGGCAGAGAAATTGAAAGTGCAACAAGATGCTTCATTCATTCCTCCTCTGATTAGAAATTATACAATTGATCCTTGCTAATTTGGCATGTCCATGATGAGAAAAGTGTCAGTTGTTTCCTGGGGAGCTTGTTTTCCATTCTGTGAATATGCTGGCTTCGCATGTCAAGATCATATAGCACACACTAGCCTATCAGCGATAACCTAGGCTGAGATTAAATATTTTTGTTCTGAAGCTTCTTTTGGAATAAAGTGTGGCTTTAAGTCTCAAAGCATCCTGAATAATCTGAAATCTGAAGATATTTTAAAAATTCTTTTGGATGTGCAGTACAAGGTATAACCAAGTAAGAAGAGCTGAGTTTTCATATTCTTTTCACTTTCATAAATTCTCTTTGATCACAAGTTGACAATCACTGTTAATGTTTCTATCACAAGTTGCAAGTATTATTCACTGCCTGCAAATATTGTTTCCTGCTACAGGTGTGTTAAAAATGACATGAAGTCACTACATTGAAGATAGAAAAAATAGGTCCATTTATGAACTTTCGTTTGACATTACATTATATTTTAGGGATATGAGAGTTGACATCAGACTAATGCACATAGCAACTCTATATGTGCCATATTTTGGTTTAACTTGTCCTTATTCTAGTGAGGCTTTTAAAATTAGTGCTGTATTCTGGATTTCTCTGGGAATTTGCCAGATTCACAGTGGCTTTTTCCAGCAAAAACATTTTCTTTCATGCTAATTACATTTATATTTTCAGTCCTAGGAACGTTGATTTAGGATGTCGCAAATTAGTCTTCGACATATGGAAAGGATAAAAAAAAATAGTAATCAGATTTATACAGCAAAATTCTACCCTTAGCCTGATACCCTTTATAAATTCTTCCATAAATCCAATATGTTAAAATGTACTCCAAGCCAACCAGAATGTGCCATAGCTGATGTTCCTGGGTACATTGAGAAGAACACATATTAGGTAATGGAGGGGAAACAAGCATTGCAATTGAACCAGCTTGGGTAATGCTTTTGAAAATATATATATATAATAATTATTTGCTGGCCTTGTTCTTTGTTTTTGTAGGAATCTTGATTTATTCATCCACGTCACTCTTGTGTGTGTTACTTTGTTAGTTTTTGTCAGCCATATACTACAGAGCTAAATTTCAGGGTATCACATTAACCAATGAAAGGGTTCATGATAATTTCCAATTTATCACATAGCCCAGTGCCCTCAACAACTTGAGGTTTTAAACTTCCTTTATAAGATTTAATATGGACTCTCACTTCTTCCATTACAGAGAAACCATGTTGTTGAATATTGAGCTTTTCAAAATGTAGTTTTAAGCAACTGCCAAATGCTATCCTTACTCACAAACATGTAGATGTACTCTCAATATCTCAAACGTTTAGGAGGTAAATGCCTCTGTTTTCTCCCAAGGCAAATAGCTTGTCATAGAAAATGACAACTCTAACTGCTCCTCTGATTAGTATCAGCAATGTATATAATTTGAAAGCCAGCGATGCCCAGGGAATGCTTTTATGTTTCAGAGTGTTAAAAAGTATTCACAGACCACAGAATTTCCACTTCAGTATTTATTCCTCAGTGGCCTAGCTCTAAGTTGCCTTAGCTCTCTGTGTTGACAACTGTGCAGCTGAGCCAAAGGCTTCCAGAAGTAATGTGAGTGAGTCAGAGCCATGCCACAGAGTGTATTCAACTTTTCCTCCAAAGGATATGTAAAATCACACAGGAAAATGTTAAGATTTTGTCTTGCCCTCTATGCTGATACCTAAGGGCAGATCTGCAGTTTCTGCTTGGCCCAAAACCACTGCAGGCCACCCACCACTTCCTGAGTGCTAAGGGAACAGCGTAATGGATGTGTATTAATGTACAACCATCCAGTTGTACATACATCTCTTATGTAAAATACAGCTATGGGAAATCAGTTCAACCTAAATATTAATGGAAGCTACACCAAAACCACTTCTCAGGAGTTATTTTGCTTTGTGTTTCAGAGAAAGTGCCTAGTGGTGCTGATGGACATTTCCCTTTAGCTATTGACGTTCCGAGACCGTTCTGAACAAGAATGTGGCAGGGGAGAGAACTTAACCCCCTTTTCTTTTCTTCCCCAACTCTAAAAGACACTTAGCCCTTTCCTCCCACCCCCATCGCTATTTACATAATAAAGATATGCATGTTCACTGCTTTCCGGTAATTAACAACTTACTTAGTTTGACATGTAATCTGTTTTTAATTAACTGGAGTTGATCAAATACCAATTTGAGTATTTTTCTGTGAAAAGTTGACTTTGACATTAGAATACAGTATTGGCTGAAATCTTAAACATAAAATGGGACTTCTAAATATAAATGCATGGGATAGCTGAGGAAATGGCAAGTTGGCAATGGAAGTAGATACCGATGGATTGATCTCTACATCTAAGGAGCAAAAACTGCCTCCCAAAAGCCATGGGGAAAAGATATTGAAGGACAGTAGACAATGTTTTTATCTACTACATAGGATTCCAGCAAAATAGCTGTTATGAATGACTGAACATTTGCCAATATATCCTAAATGCAATATAACTGTACTACATTTAGGCCTCAAAGAAAGGCTATAATCCAGCATATTGTATTTACCATCATAACCTGATAAAGCTCTACTTAGAAGTAAGTCCATTGGGTTTAGTGGGGCTTACTCCTAAATAATATAGAAATACAGCTTTAATTCTGTATTGGATTATGGCCTTTATGTTTTGTTATTAAGTGGCATTCAGTTTTCTATAATTAACTTATCTTTTCTCACACATTATTTTTACAGCACTGGAGGAAGTGAATTACATATGGGTTTAGGATTTGATAAACAGAAAACTCAACCTTTTTCATTTAACTACATCAGACTGACCTGCTTTAATTGCCCTCTTTTTTTGGAAGATATCTAATTAGATTCATGCTGCGTTGGTGCTTTTATAGACTTCAGTGAGACTGCTCTTACTTTATAATCCTCATTAGGAAACATTAATTCCGTAAGCTGCCTAAAATGCAACGACACAGAAATATCCTGCACTCCTGTCACTGAAGCTTAGAAACACAGCTTCAGCAAAGGAAAATCACCTCACCCTTTATCTCATGTGTGATTTCTCCAGTATATTTTTGAACTGAAGATGCTACTACTACTTGAGCAAGTTTGGCTCTTTTGTTTTATATAGTTTTGATTAAAACCTTCACCTACAGGATTTAGCACAAATTTGCTTTGCCGACCAAACCAGTGTAGACTATCTGTATTGTGGACCTGAGAACATTGTTTGAGAAGATATTGTTTGAGAACAAGGTCTATGAATAGACACTGTATAAGTGATCTTCCCATCCTCACCTGGAGCTCAACTCATTTCTCTTCATAGCAGTACAGGATAGACTATGCGGAGATTAAGAAGTCTCCATTTACCAGAAAAATGAAGTTAATACATTAAACTTAATATAGTGTCTTCCCCAGTCTGTGCTAGAGGTATTGGAGTACAACTTCCAGAAAGCTTAAAGAAGGTTGTAATACTACTCACCCTATGCAGCATGAGCTATTGGATGGTAGAAGTGGATAGAGGTGGATATGGTGTAACAAAGGAAAGGTATCAATAGATTTGAAGTAAAACTCCTAAATATTTAAGAGTACATGACATTTTAATGAAGAAAATGGTGACTTGTAGTATTTTGATAGCAAGTGGTTATAAAAGAAGCCATGTATATCAAAATAATTCATTGTGATTGCAGCAGGATAGAAGCATGGTTAATAAGCAAATATAAATTTAAGAGGAAGTTATTTCTGAGTAAAAACAAGAATTTACTAAGTATTAAATTCCATAGAGGAGAGATTTCAGAAGTTCAATACAGAAAGGAGATTATGAAAATAACTTGAGGTTAAAAAGAACTGGTACATAAGAAAATAGGAGGTAGATTACGCACTTTCTCCTGAATTGTCAACAAAATTCAACTCTTTAATATTCACATTTAAGACACAATCTTACACCAGATACTAAATAATAATATTATAAATCAACATACTTCCTTGCCCCTTGGCTTATTTTTATAATCCTTTAAAAATAAAGGACATGATTTGATTAAAATTGGAAGGAATCAGAGGTGGATTTTGTGTATTTCCTTAACCTACCAACAATCTTTAGGTACAAAAGCCAGCTTCCAACATGGTGCAGTGTAGTATTACAAGTCCCAGGAGATGTTGCCACAGATAGAAAGAGGAAGGACTTAGGAAAAGAGTGGGAAGTAGACTAAACGGAGGATTGAGTGCAATGTTTCAAAGCACTATGTATAAAAGAGTTTTAAGTTATAGCTTATTCTGGAATCTGTGTTAAGACTCCTCTAAGGACACAAATCTAGGAACCCAATATGATATCTGTTTCTAAGTCTAGGTTGTGTGGCCATGAACATGCATATGTTAAGCAAGATTTTTAACTAAACATGTTGTATGAACTCAGCTCAAATAAAATTACTTGGTTTTCATTCTGAGAGAGCATAAAACAGGCAACAATTACCCCGTTTCAACTACATTTACCCTGTCTCCGTCTTTTTGGGTTATTACCACCAATTACGCTGTGAAAAACTCCTTATGAGCTTATTGCACATTTTATATGATCTTATTAATATATTTTTGTGTTGCTTCCAAATCAGTCTAAAAGGATTTGTATCCAGCCAGGTAGGAAACAAATCACTGTAATTAAAAAAAAAAAATGAAACCCAGTTTATTTCCTTTTTAGAGGAAAAGATTACAGACCAACCAGAATCTTCGGGGGATGAAGTTTTGCCACCCTTGAGCATGATACCATCTGTCATTCATACCTCCAGTCTTCCAGGAGACGATATTTTGGGGCCTACAGATCAATTCATTTTATTGCCAGCAGATGCCTCCAGTGGCCCTTCCCTTGTCATGGGCCAATCTTTTGAAGCAACAAGTTCCATGTGGGCAGCTGCAACTGGTTTTGAAATGGGAGTGCAGGACCTTGCCATTGACTTAGCTATCACTGACATGATGGCCCCAGTGGCAGTGGAGAAGGAGGGAAGTGGCTACAATGCATTGCCAGGAACCCCAGGTATGACTCCAGCTCCTTCCCTGAAGTATATAACCACAAGCTCCATGACAACCACAATCCAAGGCCAAGAGCTGGTGGTGTTCTTCAGCTTGAGGGTGACCAACATGCGCTTTTCCAATGACCTCTTCAATCAGAGTTCCCCTGAGTACAAAGCACTTGAACAACAATTCATACAGCTGGTAGGTGACAAAGGATGCTATTGAACTTGTGGATAATTCCCCACCCCACCCCAAAGAGAAATCTTAGGATGTTATGCCCCAAATTAAAATTGAAATAGAACAAATAAAAACAAATTGAATTGATAGTGAAAACTGCTTTCAGAAGAAAACTAGTGTTCCTTCCCATTACAACCTCAACCTTCATGTAATATTTACTCGATTCTACGCACTTGATCCTAAAAGGTAAAGTTTTCCTCAAGTTCATCTTGGCTCCTAGAGAAGACCTAGATATGTTTCTGTTTCCTTCGTAACAATACAGCAGTGGTTAATCATTGCCACTTGTTTGCTTTTTTTCCCCCTCCCCTTTATTTATTTGATTTGCTGGGTCAGTTTAAAGCCCTGGGATTACCTTGTGGTTTTCTCTCCCAGTATTCACTAAATCGGATCCTACTTACAATTTTGAGATTTTTAAAAAGTGCTAGTTCAGGATGCATTTTTTACCTTCTTGGATCCCCATCTTTTACCGCCCCTTTTTTCTTTCCAGTTCTGATGCCAAAATGAACTAGGAAGGGAGAAAAGTGGAAGGCGCTAGATGGAGGGTTAACTTATTGTTAATCCCTTGTTTCATGTGCGAGCAATACAAGTTAATGCAAAGAAATATATGTTTGAGGTGATAATACGTATTTTGGCCTGAAGAGAGTAGCAGAACACTATATTTGTTCTACTGTACTTACAGTTCAATCCTATGAAATTACATAAATTTCAAAGAGAGTAATAATTTACAGATGACTGTTCATTTTGCCCTGTGTCATAATCTTTCACATTATGTTCTTATGCAAATAAGGGTCCATGGGAAATTGAATGTTCATATCTCATTGTCCTGAAAGTACATGGGAACAATACTTTGTATAATATAGAGACTCAAGTAACCACTGTAGAAATTGGCAAATAGAATTATATAAGAATGTAAGAATCGTCCTATTTTAGTCCAACATTTTGTTGCTTGTATGTTTTACAGATCTAGAGCTCACTCTTTCTACTTGTATAACCTACTGTGGGCAAAATCCATATAAAATGAAAGGAAATGCCCTTATAGCTGCAATTTACATTTGAGTAAGCTTAAATGTCATTGATTTCTTTTTAACTGGATTGCAGTCTGTGAATGAAGTTTGCATCAAAAGGGCACTCTAGCTGTCTTGCTTAGATTGTTTTAAAAGATCTATCTTGAGAGCTGCTACTGAAAGACTAATTTAGAAATTTGACTTGGTATCAGGTGTAAAATCAGCTAATAGCATCAGTAAAACAGAGAAATTTTGTCTTTCCCAAAATAAACAGTGAACATATGTGACATTAATAGTATATTTTTCTTTGGTTTTTCAGCTGCTTCCCTACCTACAGTCCAATCTTACAGGATTTAAGCAGTTGGAAATACTGAATTTCCGCAATGGAAGCGTGATTGTAAATAGCAAAATGAAGTTTGCCAAGTCAGTGCCGTACAACATCACAAAGGCTGTTCATTGTGTGTTGGAAGATTTCTGTGATGCAGCAGCTCAGCGTCTTAACCTGGAAATCGACAGCTATTCTCTTGAAATAGAGCCAGGTAACATAAAAAGTGAAGCAGAGGACAGGGGGGATGTTGCTCTAGAAGTACTTGGAAAAGCTTCCACTCTTCTTATAACATGGTTGGAACAACACTAGTTGTTCCCTAACACTCACCCTACTGTACCCCAATCCATACTGTTTTCAAGCTACTTTTGTTCTATAGGCTCCTGTCATTGACAGTAAGTAAGTGAATCTCTTCAAGTGTGTGCCCTTTTTCTCAGGATTATACAGTAGCACTGAGAAACTTTCATGTATTTATTCATATCTCCAAATCAAACTGACTCCAGCAGTGCATAGCACAAATAAAACCAAAAATACAATAACATCCAATTCATAATAACAAGCAATACTCCATTAACAAGCAGTAATATTAATATAATATGATAAAATTATAATGATGGTACCAACCTAGTCTACATGGCAATAAATTGTAACTTGGTTATATTGTATGTCAAATTATAATGTCTGTTTCATTGACAATCAGTTCACAAGGCTCTGCAGCATTTTCATCCTTTTTTTGTTTTGTTTTGTTTAATTTTTTTAATAAGAATTTTGCAGCACTTTCTTCCTTGATTTTCACTTCAAATATATGACATAATGGGCTGGAACATCTAGCAGACTGCTATACAATGAGTCATATTAAATAGAGTTTATCTTCTTGAGCTGAATAGGAAGTTGTGTGTGTGTGTATACATGTGTGTATGCGCACATATCTTAATTATGGAAAATAGGTTGCAGTTTGAGAAAGTGAAAGAACAAGCAGAAGAACCTGGCATGCAAACTGATTGACAAATCTTTAATAGAACAGACAGAGGTTGATGGTACACTGAAGCCTCCAGAGATGGTATGACAATTAGGCAATAATTAGACTTAGCCAAAGAGGTGTGTGTGCTCAAGCACAAGTGTATGCCAGGGGTTGTAGGAATTCTCTTTCTTTAATCCCTTGTATTTTTTTATTTTTGTCATAAAAAACATGGTATACATCTTGCCATGAGCTTCTGTTCTCATCCTTTTACGGATCAAAAGCACTTGTGCATCATGTTTATGTTCAGTTGGAGAAAATTGTCAGAGTATGTTGACATGGCAGTGTCATGCCTCTACTGATATTGCCAACATTATGACTAAAAGGTTGTCTTGACAACAGTGCTGAAATCTCCTTCATTTAACAACCCTTAACTTAGAATATGGATGCTACATGGAAGAGATACCCAGGTCAGGTGTTCTCTTTCTAACTGGAAGTTTTAATGTTAGAGCATGAGTTCTAATGCTACAAGACAGACAGTAATGAAAACTACACAAACACAAACAGGTCTGAATTAACATTGTTTGCATGGATGCCAGATTGGTAGGTTCTCAGTACAGGTAGTCCTTGGGTTACGTTCATTTGTTCCGCGACTGTTCAAAGTTACGGTGGCACTGAATAAAATGGGTGTACGACCGATCTTCAAAGTTCTGGCCATCACAGCATCCCTGCAGTCATGTGATCGCAATCCAGGCACTTGGCTCATGATTCTGACATCGCAGGGAGCTGTGGTCACATGATCGCCATTTGCAACCTTCCCTGCCGGCTTCCCCCAAGCAAAGTCAATAGGGAAGCCAGCAGGGAAGGTCATACGTCACTCCGGTAAGTCCTCCCGGCTTTCTTGCACTTGTGCCATGCTATGCCACACTCTCCACCCCACAGTCTTTCTGCACTCACATTGCACTGTGCCCTCCACCCCATGGCCTTCCTGCACTCACACAGCACCTCAGTCCCCCAGTCTCCCCCACCTCACGCACAGCCTGCACCAGGGCTTCCAGGGCCTCTCCTGGCTCTAGCAGTTGACTTATCAAAACCAGGCAAGTTAGTAAAGCAGAAGAGGAGAGGAGAAGAAGATACGGTGTTGAAACCGTGAAATCTGCATTTCGTCAGTTTTAGATGAAATGAGAGAACTGGGCAGACCTTTAGATTAGGGTTGCTATGATGGTTTTAAGTCAGAACTATCCCTAAGAATAAACAATTGATGTCCCTATTTTTGAAAAAATAAAATCCAGCTGATCCTTGAAGATGTCTCAATTCTTCAGATTCTTTACTAGGTAAAAATGGAAGGTGCAGAAGCGGAGGGAGGCATGCTTATTGTCCAGAGATCTCCCTACCCTCTGCCACCTCCATTCTGGGCCCACTCCTCTTTGGCGGGGTGGGACCCACGGGGGCTTGCAGGCACCCCCTTGCCCTGTAGCGCTTGAAAGGTAGAGTGTGTACTGTGCCTTCACCTTTTAATCAACTGAATTGCAAGGACCTCCCTTCCCTTGCCAGGAAAAATGAAAAAGTCCAACCAAAATGCTGAAACCAAGAAGTTGGGGGGAATAAAAGTGCTTTTCGTCAAGCATCTTCTGATTTAGTGCACATCTTCGTAAGAGGGAAGAGGACTGAAAGCCAAAGGTGTGCTTCTGTCGATATAAGGCATTGCCCATGACTTATAAAACAGGACAGGCTGTTGGCCTCCCCTTTTTTCCTGATATGCTGCCTTGTTTTCCTGTAGATGTTATGTTGGCAAGGGCTCTTCAAGGTTCCTTATCATTTGATGCTATAGAGTGCTGTGGCCACCATTCCATTTCCCCCCCTTTCTTCCATTGTGCTGGCCCGGATGGAAAATAGTTCCAGTGAGCTTTTGCCAGAGCAGGAGAGATTCTAAGATTGTTTGATGAGTTTTGGAGTCCAGTCTAAAATGGTACTGAGCTCTTGTGATATCTTTTTAAAACTCCCTTCAGTTTCATGATCTAGGAGAACACCTGTGTTTTATTGAAGTACTACTGATGTCAAGCTAGTCCACCTCCCTCCCTGCCCCACTGCACAAAACAATGGTTTCATCTGTACTTTTAGGTTTCTATTAACAGCTTACTATTTGTGCTTGTTGTCTGCATTAATGCAGGCAATTGGTCCATAGTTCCATGAAAAAGGAATTGTCAGGAAATACAGTAGGATGAAGTTGAATTATTATCAGAATAGTTCAACTATTATAGAATTTGATGCACTACTTAGACAAATAGTGTGGAATTTATGGCAACCCCACCCCCCACCCCCAAATAGCATTTCAGCCTATCTGATTTCTAAACCAGCTTTGCAACTTGGATTTTTTTTTCCCCACAGCCTTTCATATAGTTGTTAATGCCATTTTAATTGGATGGTCACAGCATATAGGCAGTATTAATATGAATGCACTCATTCAAGAATTTAATTACTAGGCAACAGATGACAAGAATATGAAACTGAAACAGCTAGGGGGTTATTCTCCTTTTATGTAGTGCTACAACGAAAGCAGTGAATTCTTGTCGCATGCCTAAGGAATGAATACCTATCATATTAATTACAGAAGAACAATAATTTCAGCACAATTAGGGTGGACCTTACATATTACAAAACAAAGCCTACCATTGCCAACAACAGCTGTGTTCCACATTCCTTTGCAATGACACATATCATGTACTTTACATCCTGATGAGTGCACCAAGGGGGCTTTAAGTTGGTCACATTGTGGATTACACAGGGTGTACTAGAATGGCCCAGCTGGGAAACCATTTTGGCAAATAGTCCAGAAGTGTCAAGTGACCACTGCCTCTGCAGTGTTTACCATACAAGGTGGTGGTCTGCAAAGGGTTTGTGAAGGAGGCACTGCTCATGTCCTCTTCACAAGAAGACATTTACTGTAAAAGATAAATGATAAATATTTAAAATAAATATAAGAGTAAGACCAAATTACTGAAGAAAATATATCACCGAAGCTTGTGAAAGCCAAAAAAAGGGACTCCATTGCTTCTCAGTCACATATTAACAGTGGTAGGTAGCTGTGATGAACAAATGTTTTCTCTAGCAACCATACTGTTTTACCATGTCCATGTGACCCTGTATCAATGAATCCATTTCAAAAGATTTTTCTCTTCTATTCCAGCTGATCAAGCGGACCCTTGCAAGTTCTTGGCATGTGATGAATTCTCACAGTGCCTAAAGAATGACTGGACAAAAGAGGCAATTTGTCTTTGTAAACCTGGTTATGTAAGAACAGATGGTCCGCTTTGCCGTAGCATGTGTGAGATGGAGCCACAGCTGTGTGTTAATGGTGGCAAATGTGAATTGGTTCCAGGAAGAGGTGCAGTGTGTAGGTAAGTCCTCTGTTATAAAGTTGATGATGAATATTGTTGGTACTATGGACATGGATAAATGCAGCTGCAATTATTGCAATTGCCAAATGGCACTACTCTTTTTTGGATTATTCAGCATGAGAAGAGAACATTCTGGATGCAGATTTTGTGCTCTGCCATTAAGCAAAGTTTCCCATTCAAACTCTGGCCTTTCCAGTTAAAAGCTTTCCGGGAATTGGACTGGAGAGTCTTTACCTGAAGCTCTGGTGATATACCGCTGGTCAAAACAAGTATACTGACCTGAACCAGATGCATTTATGAGATTATGTTCAAATTCAGTTTGTTTTGTTTTATATTGTAGTGTTAACTCACCTCATTGCAGACACAGAATATTTGTCAAAAGCCAGAATCTACCTAATAAAGTCTGCAGAATAAAGCAGCAGAAGCTGTAGCAACCATTTTTTAATTGTCTCCTGCGCCTACATGAGTCAATATCATAAAAGTTCTAATGCTTAGCTTAATGTGCCTCATTCTTTGCCCCATCAGTTTATTAATTAAATTACAAAAGAAATGCAAAATGAAGATGGGGGAGGGGGTAAGCAGATCAACCCTTCATATGTTCTCCCATCCCATTGGCCTTTTATACCTATCTTACCATCAACCAGCATGTTCTACCTTATAGAGGTCCTCCTCATCTCAATCACTGCAGTACAGATAATCCTAGTAGAATTCATCCTGTTTTCAGTTACAGTGATCCCATCCTTAATTTTTGCAATGGGCCATGTAGTATAAGTGTTGTATCAGTTCTTCATCAGTAACTTTACACAATAATAAACAAAGAACAGAGTATGATGGTAAAATACATACACGAATTCTCATTCATCTTCAAAATGTGCTTTCTCTGAGTTGTACCATTGGCCTTAATAACAGTCATCTGTCTGCTTATACCTAGCTTGGTTTCAGTGTTCTATGATTAAAATCTCCTAACCCAGCTACTGCAATAACTTTTGACACACCTCACTGCGGCAGTTTCATGCCAGGACATTCCCAGTAGTGAAATTATCTAATAGTACTTCTGACATTGTGTTTCTTGCAGGTCTTGAGTTTAGTGGCTTGTAATTGTAAACATTTAATACATAACCCTTGTTTTCCTCATAGGCCCCAGGATTCAAAACTGACAAGTTAGCATCTGAAGGTCTGAATTCCAGAGACCATGAAGGTTTGTGATTTTTTTTACAAAAACTATCAGATGCATTCTTAGTAATGTCTGGAAAACTTGCATACTCTTATGTGGCTCCTTAAACTTAGAATCAGTCCTTCATGTGAGGTTTATTTGCCATTGCTAAATTAAAATATACCATTTAAACTATAGGCAAATTTTATGCAGTCACATTCAGGCTTATTATTATGTGCCATCATGTTGGTGTCAACTCTTATTAGCCACATAGATATATCTTCTCCAGGATGATCTGTCCCCAGCCTAGTCCTTCAGGTCCAACAATGCACCCATTGCTGCTGTTATTAAGTCCATCCATCTTGGTTGTTCTCTTTTGCTCTTTTCTTCCACCATTTGCAGTATTAAAGACTTCTCAAGAGAGATGGGTCTTCATATAACATGTCCAGATGATAATTTGAGCCTGATTGTTTGTCCCTTGAGTGAGAACTCTAGATTGATTTGTTCTGTGATTCATTTGTTTGTTTTCTTGGCTATATGTGATATAAGGCTATAAGGGGGAATGGGGTGGGATAACTATTATCATCCACAAGTCATTGAAGGCTCTTAGAGGCTCTGCCCTACAGATAACTGGATGTGAGAGCCTCTGACTTAAGTTAGACCTTCAGGAACAGTTGGGATTATTGCTGGTGTACCACCCTCCCTGCTTCTCAGCATCATCCCAGCTTGAGCTGCTGGATTCTGCTGCCATGTTGATGGTGGAGTCCCCAAGGCTGATGGTCCTTGGGGACTTTAACCTGCTACCTGGTGATGTTAAGTCCAGGACAGTAGAAATAATAGAAGGCACAACACATTCCAGAGGTCACACATTAGATCTGTTTTTTGTCTTGGGGCAGTTGCAGGGTGATCTGGTATTGGAGGATATTAACATCAGTCCATTCCCATGGACAGATCACCACTTTTTGGTTGCCCTCCAACTTGCTGGGACCACACACATCCACAGGGACAGAGGGCCTATTAGGTTGGCTCACCCCAGACAACTAATGGACCCTGCTGGGTTCCAGAGGGAGCTTGGGGTTGTTCCTGAGGACCTGTCAGTCACTTCAGCTGAAGCCTTGGCTGCAGCCTGGAATAGGCATGAGACTGAGGCCCTGGAGTGGATTGGTCCTATGCGGCCTCTCTCTGCACACCAATCCTGGGATGCTTGGTTTTCCAAAGAGCTCTGGGAGATGAAATGCCAGAAGCAATGCCTAGAGGACTGTTGGAGAAAGACAAAGAGCAAACCCTACTGAACACAAGTAAGAGCCAATATTTGTGCCTACATCATGATGTTAAGGGCAGTGAAATGTCATTATATCTCTGCCATTCTTGTGTCTGCTAATAGCTGCCCAGGGGCCCTCTTTAGGGTGACCTTCTCCCTAATGGGGGGGGGGGGGGCCGGGCCACAGGATCATCTTGAGGGCCGTGGTGAGGAATATTCTGCTATCTGGCAGACAAAGTAGTTCAGATTCACTTGGAGTTGGACTCCAACTGGGCAGTCCTAATGAATTGTCCAGGAAACAGTCTTGTGATGTTATCTGGACTGAGTTTGATTCTGTTGCGCCCAAGGAAGTGGACAAGGTCCTTCTGTCTATTAGTCCACTTGTTTCTTAGTTCCTGGCCCCTCCTGGGTTATTAAAGCATCCCAGGACATGATCACAGTGTGGGTTCATGCAGTGGTTTCAGCCTCTCTGAAACAGGGGGTGGTCCCACCAGTCTTGAAGGAGGCAGTGGTATGGCCCCTCCTCAAGTGGTCATTGCTGGACCATCCCTGTTGGAGAATTATTGGCCAATTTCCAATTTTCCCTTTTCAGAGGATCTTGGAGGACATGGATTATCTGGACCCATTTTAGTCTGGCTTCAGTCCAGGGTACAGTACTGAGACAGCATTGGCCACACTTGCTGATTACCTTTGGCAGAGCTGGGATGGGGGTGGTGCATCTATCCTTGTGCTCCTTAGTCTCTCCGAAGCTTTAGATACCATCGATCACAGTATCCTTCTGGACTGGCTGCAGGATTTAGGAGTAGAAGGCAGTGGGCTCCATAGTGTCACAGTGGAAAACCCCTGCCTGCACAATTCTGATCTTTGTAGGCATAGACACGTCATGGCATCTGAATATCTTTTCCAAGGCTTCACTCTACCAAGTGCAGATCTGTGTCCTGTTTCTTGACTGCTGGTTCTTTTACTGTTGATGGTTGATCCTAAAAGGCAGAAGCTATCCACTGCTTCAATATCTTCATTATCTGTATCTGTTGTTGTTAGTTTGGGTCTTTATATTTAATTTTAGTCCCATTTTTCACTGTGTTCCTTGGCCTTTATTACCAGAGTTTGCAGATCTTTTGCATTTTCAGTTACAGAGTAGCATCATCAGGATAGTACAGGTTATTGATGATTCTTCCTCCAGTGTTAAAGCTACACTCATCTTCCTCCAAGCCACTTCTCTCAATATACACACAGGCTGAACAAATAACAAAAACCTTGCCTCACTCTCTTGCTGACTTGGAGCCAGTTAATTTTGCCATATTCCATCTGAACTGTGGCTTCTGACATGTTTATAGGTTTTGCACAAGGACAAGGAGATGTTCTGGGTTTCCTGTTTCCCTAAGCACATACCACAGCTTGAAATGGTTGACACAATTAAAGGCCTGTCTATAACCCAAGAAGCACATACTGACCTTGTTGATATTCTTTGGCTTTCCCAATTATCTAGTATGCATCAGCAATAATGGCTCTTGTTTCTCTCAGCTTGAACATCTGGCATCTCCCATTCCATGAAATATTCTAATCAATGTTAGATGATCCTAAGCATTATTTTGCTAGCATCTGAAATTAAGGATATTGCATGATAGTTTGCACACTCTGTTAAGTCTTCTTTCTTTGTTACTGGAATGCAGATCATCTCTTTCAATCTGTTGGCCACTATGTCACTGTCCAGATTTTCTGACATAGCTTGATTAGAATCTTTTTTTATTCTTCTTCTGTTGCTTGCCATATTTGTGTAGATATTTCATCAAATCCTGTAGCCTTCTAACTTAGTAATGATCAAGTGCTGATCTAACTTCATTTTTTAGTACAAGAGGTTCTTGTAAGTAGGGAATACCCTCTAAGGTGTCTTGAATGTGGCCATTTCTGCAGTACAGAATTTCAGTATAATCTATCCATCTTTATTTGAACTTCTTTAAATCAATTACTGCCTGTTCACTGGCATTCTTTAGCATACCAATTCAAGTTTAGAACTTCCTTCTGAGTTTGGAGATCTTTTGGAAGACTCATTTTTCTGTGTCTGTTTCCATCTTCAATGTCTTTATAGATGTATATTGCTTCTTCTCTCTTTTAATAGCTCTCTGAAATTCTTTGTCAAATTCCTTCCTTTTTCTTTCTTGGCTTTTGTTTCTCTTCTCTCCTTGGCAATTTCCACCATTTGTTCTGACATCCAATTTGTTTTCTTCTATTTCTTGTTGTTGCTGGCTAGTTACAATTACTTACAACTAATTACAATTAAATTACTTAAAATTAAAAATAAAAACCACAATTAATAAAGATTTATTAAAAAGATCTGCATACTTACAGCACTGGAGAACTCTGCCCCATGGAAATGATTCACAAAGGCATTACTTTTGTTGAGCAAGTTTTATAGCCCTTAAATCGTTCTTTTCCCTGCCCCCCCCCCCCGCATTGTTTAGTTAAGGCAAGGAACAGTTACATATTAGTGAGGATTTAAGTGTCTAGCAGGTATTGGGCCCTTAGCTAAGACAAAAGTGGGAAATAATTATCTAAGTGGGGTTAGAGCAGGAAATTTGTTATCTTGCAG